TTATTTGACAGAGAGAGACACAGCGAGAGAGGGAACACAAGCAGGGGGAGTGGGAGAGGGAGAAGCAGGCTTCCCATGGAGCAGGGAGCCCGATGTGGGGCTCGATCCCAGGACCCTGGAATCATGACCTGAGCCGAAGGCAGACGGCTAACGACTGAGCCACCCAGGCGCCCCTACAATGCAATATTGTTAACTGTAGGGACGATGTTGTACTGTAGATCTCTTGAACTTACTCATCTTGTGTGATTGAGACTTGATGCATTTGATTAATAAATCCCAGTTCCCACTCCTTGCCACCGCTGACAACCACCATTCTATTCTGATTCTATAAGTTTGAGGATCTTAAACTTTGCTTTTAGAGCAGCTTCAGATTCACAGCAAAATCGAGCAGGAAGTACAGACACTTCCAGGCTCCCTCTGCCCCCACACATGCAACCTCCCGAGCAGCCAACATCTTGCACCACAATAGAACATTTATTATAGTCAGTGAGCCTACAGTGACACATCATCATCACCCAGATTCTGTAGTTTACATTCGGGTTCCACTTGGTGGTGTACATTCAGGGGTTTTAACAAATGTGTAATGAATAGTTCCACTACCCTAAAAATCCTCTGTGCTCTGCCTGTTCATCCTTCCATCCCTGCTAACCCCTGGCAGCCACTAATCTTTTTACTGTCTCCATAGTTTTGTCTTTTGCAAGGTGTCGTATAGTTGCGGTTATACAGTATGTAGCCTTTTCAGATTGGATTCTTTCACTCAGCAACAAGTTCCACAATATTAAGTTTTCTCCGAGTCCTTTCGTGGCTAAATAACTCATTTCATTTTAAGCTAAATAACATCCGATTGTCTGGATGTACCACAGTTTGTTTATCCATTTACCTACTAGAGGACATCTTCATTGATTCCAACTTTAGGCTACTATAAGTATTTGTGAACAGGTTTTTGTGTGGACTTAGGTTTTCTACTCATTTGGGTAAACACCAAGGAGTGTGATTGCCAGATGGTATGGTAAGAGTATATTTAGTTTTGCAAGAATGCGCCAAACTGTCTCCCAATGAGGCTGCACCATTTTGCATTCCCACTAGCAATGAGTGAGAGTTCTTGTTGCTCCATGTCCTCATCAGCATTTGGCGTTGTCAGTATTTTGTGTTTTGTCCATTGTAATATGTGTCTGGTGGTATCTCATTGTTTTAATTTCAAATTCCCCAATGACATATGATGTTCAACATCTTTTCACATGCTTGCTTCTCGTCTATATATCTTTTTTGATGAGGTGTCTGTTCAAGTCTCTTGCCTTTTTTTTAATTGGCTGTTTTCTCATTGTTGAGTTTTAAGAGTCCTTTGTGTATTTTAGACAATAGTCCTTTATCAGATTTGTCTTTTGCAAATATTTTCTCCCAGTATGTGGCTTCTCTTCCCATTCTCTCTCTCTCTCTCTTTTTTAAGAATTTTATTCACTTGGGCGCCTGGGTGGCTCAGTTGGTTAAGCGACTGCCTTCGGCTCAGGTCATGATCCTGGAGTCCCGGGATCGAGTCCCGCATCGGGCTCCCTGCTCGGCAGGGGGTCTGCTTCTCCCTCTGCCCTCTTCCCTCTTGTGCTCTCTGTCTCTCATTCTCTCTCTCTCAAATAAATGAATAAAATCTTTAAAAAAAAAAATTTTATTCACTTGAGAGAGAGAGAGAGAGCACAAGCAGGTGGGGGAGGGGCAATATTTTGAAATATGAGGAAGATGAAAAGCCACTGTCTGTGGAGGAAGCCAAACCCTGAAATAGCACAGAAAAAACAATGCAGGTTTCACTAATGAACAGGAATACTTTTTAGGTGAAATGATATATCAAAGCAGAAGTCTGTTGCTGTCCTGGCCATCTTATTGGGCTTCTTTCACTCGGCATAGGTTTTTTTTTTTTTAATTTTATTTTTTAGTGTAATCTCTACCTCCAATGTGGGGCTCGAACTCATGAGCCCAAGATCAAGAGTTACATGCTCCTCTTACTGAGCCAGCCAGGCACCCCTCACTCAGCATAGTTATTTTGAGGTTCATCCACATGGTTGCATGTATCCATAGCTGGTTCCTTTTTCTTGCTGTGTACTATTCCATTCTAAGGACAAATCATGGTTTGCTTATCCATTCACCTGTTGATAGACATTTGTATTATCTCAGTGGCTATTTTGAATAAAACTTTCATGAGTGGTGGTTTTTTTTTTTTTTTTGAGAGCTTGAGCACTAGAGGGGGAGGGGCAGAGGGAGAGGGAGAGAAAGAACCCCAAGCAGACTCCATGCTGAGCACAGAGCCTGATGTGGGGCTCAATCCTATGATCCCCGAGGTCAGGACCTGAGCCAAAACCAAGAGTCAGATGCCCTACTGACCCTGCCACCCAGGTGCCCCCCATGAGTGTTTTTGATCAAGTCTTTGTGTGTACATATGCTTTCCTTGCTCTGAGGACATAAAATTACAAGCTGCGTGAATACCTTATAATGGCCAGATTTATGCAGGCTCTAGAGGATGAGTGACCAAATTGTGCAAGGGACATAGGAATGGCCAGTGTGGCCAGAGCAGAGGACCGAAGCATGAGCTTTGCATCTGGCATTTGATGGTTGTGCATTTGATTGCAGGCTATTTTCTTTTTTATGGGCTCTCCATTTTCTCTCATAATGAAGTCCTGAATTCTTCTTGGCCTCTTTGGACCTCTCACATTGTGCCCAGCCTTCCCTTTCAGGCCCATTACTATGCCCAGTCCCTGCTCTTTCCCTTAATGAGAGTAAGAAGACTGTGATGACAGCTTAGATATATTGTGGACCCGGAACTCATATGTGCACTCTATGTGCATTATTGTGTGTAATCCTTCCAGGAGCCCCACAAAGGAGGTACCACTTTTATGCCCTCGGTGCAGGGAAGAAACCACAGCTCAGAGAGGTTAAGTAATTTATCCAGGATTGCACAGCTAGTAAGTGGTAGGTTAGAAGTTAGAGTAGATCATCTGACTTCAGAGCCAGCACCTTTAACCACCATGTTATATACCCTTCATCACTGGAAGGACAGATTGTGCATGGAATTTAAGATGCCATTTTAAACTATTCTTCTACATCATCTAGTTAACTCCTATATTCCTAACTTAGTGTTTCCTCCCAGTGGCCCCTTCCCTGGCAGCCCGGACTGGGTCAGATTACCCTGAACCACGTGCCTCTCTCAGAGCTCTGTGTCTGCCCCACTGAGCTGGGAGCACAGCATGGATACAGAGGCCTTCCTTTGCTTCCTTTAGTGTCTGCTGCCCAAAGAGTGCTAGCATTGAGTAAACCAGGTGAATGAGTTATACTGTCAGATACGCATGATTGTCATCAGCTTTGCTGAGGTATTATTTACACATACAAATGTGTAACTACAATCAAGATAAAATTATTTTGATTACTCTAAAAGTTCCCTGTGTGCCCCTTGCAATCTCCCTCCATCCCCAGCTACCACTGTTCTGTTTGTCTGTCTCTATAGTTTTGTCTCTTCTAGAATTTTAGATAAACGGAATCATACAGTATGTAGTCTTTTGTGTCTGTCTTATTTAGCAGAATGCTTTTGAGATGCATCCATATTATTGCATGTGTCAGCAGTTCCAGGTATATATTTAAAACCACTTTAAATATTTATTTTGGAAACAGTCCAGAAATAAATACTTAGCCCCACTCAGGTTTAGACTTGGTTCATAAGTTAGAGCAGCGGTTTCCAAGGGTCCTCCCCAGGATCCTTTCAGAGTGTCCACAAGGTCGAAATGATTTTCATAATAACCCAAAGATATTATTTGCCTTTTTTACTCATTGTCTCAGAGTTTTCCAGATGCTGCCTGACGTGTGGTATTGCAACAGATTGGATGCAGAAAGATATGAGAATCCATCTGTCTTTTATTAAGCTGTCTGGCTTAAAGAAATTTGTAAAAATGTTAATGCCGCTCTCCTCACTAAAAGTTTTTGTGTTGGAAAATATAATCACTTTTTAAATAACAAATGTTAATTATATTAACATTTAATGGCTTTCTTGTTATTAGATGCATGAATAAATATTTTTAAATTGTATTTTAACTTCTCACATGATAAATAGTCATAAATATAAACCGTGTAAACAGAAGCTCTTTGGGGGCTTCAGTTTTCTAGTTATAGAGAAACCCTTAGTCCAAGGAGTTTAGAATCTCTGGACTAGGGACATTTTTGAAAAGGCATCAGGAATAGGATAAGGAAGTCTTGGAGCTGCGTGGGCTTAGAAGAGGATCTGGAGACCTGGCCTACGTTGCCTGGAGAAGGGGCCTCCATCCGGTGGTGCCAGATGGAATGTGGGCTGGAATGCAAGGACAGGCAGTGTCAGCTACAGTCTCACTGTCAGCCCCCTGCTCGCTCCCCAGACCTGGTTGGGCAGGTTCTGTTGATGTTTCAGCTTCCTACAAGGAGCCAGCGGGCAGCCCATGCCTGTGGCTGGCTTGCAGGACAGCGATCACGCGGCCTAGAGCCAGCCACTTTCCCCAGATGAAGCTGCTGCTACGATCTGACTTCAGGTTGGGCACTTGCTGGGGAGCTGACTGATGTCTGTGCTGTGTTCTGATTCCAGGGCAAGCACAGGAAATCATCAAGATGGTCCGTTGGCTTTCAGGAGAAACTATGTACCCTCCCCCTTCCCGCGCAATAGAGTTCTAAGCTCAGATTGAAAGACTGTCTAAAATAATTATTTTAACAAAAGCAGGTGGGAGGCTAGTCTTATTACTGGCACAGTTATTGTGGGGAAAGTGACATGTAGATTTTGGTTAGTGATTTTGATAATGCTGTTAATAAACGGGAGCAAAATTGCACCTCCAGTCTTTGACCTGTTAATTGCTCTTCTCTTGCAGGCGAAAGGGCCTGTGGTTCCGACTGAGGAAGATACTTCTCTGTGTTCTGGGGTTGTATGTTGCCATTCCATTTCTCATCAAACTATGTCCTGGGATACAGGCCAAACTGATTTTCTTGAATTTTGGTAAGTACCACGTACCCATTTTGCCTTGAATTTTAGTAAGAATTCATTTGCATGATGATTTATATATTTTTATATCTACCACCCAGATCAAGAAATAGAACATTTCTATTACCCAGAAAGTTCCCAGTGCCCCTTCCCAGTTACAGGCTGCTGCAATGACTGCGTTGTTCTCCAGGGCTAACAGTTGTGTGCACAGGTAACCCCTGCTTGGCTGGGGGTCCTGCTTTAGTGGCAGTGGGTAAGGATGTTAATGGTGTTGTGTTGGAGGTGCTCTGCCCTTGTGCCATCTAGGAGGCTCACTGTACTTGGAAAAGATAACCACTAAAAGGTGACCACCTTAAACAAAAATAATTAGGACTTTTTTCTTTAAAAATAAAAAAAAAATCAGCCTGACATGCTTTGGTTTCTATGGAATTATATGCTCCCTCTATAGGTGTTGTAGTCTCCCTGAGTTAACTTAGACCTTGTGTGTTCCAAAGGTGTTTTTTTTTTCATGCTGTGTATTTACTTTTGTGCAAGTAGGAGGAGGAAGGTCCAGAAGTCTCAAGCTTAGGAAATAGAAGGCAGAGGGCTCCCAGGTACATAATTGCTGGGAATAATCCTCTTAAGGAGCATCATTTTACACCTACAAGATGAGGCTAGGAGGGAGGAGGCTGGGTCTGCGAGTGTTAGCGTTTGAAGGTAGAACGTGGTGCTTGGCGCACAGCAGGTACTCCATAAGCAATGGCCTTCAGCTTGAGTGTGCAGGTATGCGTAGCATCTGAACCAGTCGAGGTGGGCTCTGTGCATGCTCTTAGCTGTTGGTTTGCAAAGAGTAGGTTTGGACCTTGTGTATTTGGGAGGAGAGGTTTGAAAGTTGGGGCTGTTGCCGTGAGAAGAGGCAGCAGGGTTGCTGGTAGAGAAGGAAGGAGGAGGAAGAGCATGAAGATGAGGGGGAGGACAGACAGGAGGTGTTGAGATGGCTCACGTGTGACTGTGGCCTGGGACAAGCAGGGGGTGGCACTGGGGCCAGGCATGTCAGGGCTACAGAACCCTCTTCTGTAGTAACGCAGTGCTCCAGGCTCTGTAGGTGCCTGGGCATACGAGTTCGGGTTTATGAAGTCTACAGTGGACTTAATCACAGAAACTTAGAAGTCACTGGCTAAAAAGAGCATTTCTGCTCTCAAGAGAAACAGTAAGGAGGAGGAAGAGAGATAGTAAGGTCAGTGTTCACTACTTTGTAAATCTAAAGTAAGTTTTTTTAATTTGGTGTCTTAAAATAAGTATAAAATACTTACAGTATACCAAGAGGCATTTGATTTTTCTGACGGAAATGTAGCTGAACTTTGAGGAATTTATCCTCTCTATGTTTTTGCCAGTGTGAGAGGCACAAACTTAAAAGGAGCTAACAACATACTAAAATAAAGGGAGTTTTGATTTTCTGACTTTAACCCTTAAATGTCCACAGTCGGTCCAGCACAGAAGAGAGTTTGTGTTTACATATAAACACGAGGCTACTGGGTTGCAGATACCCTGATGGCAGACTTTAGGATGGACTCTGAATGGCTTTTCCTACTCTATAGGCCTCCGGGTGCCTTGAGCAGGTGCCTTTGCCACACGGTGGGATCCCAGGAAATATTTGAATTGACTTGCTTTTCTTCAGATCAATTATTTGGGCTACTTTAAACATAGCCCACAAATGTTGCTCGGTTGGTTTCCTAATGAAATGGTAGGGTGTTCCACTGGAGCAGAACTTGGGTTCTCCTAGTCCACCTCTACAAGGAGATGCCAGTTGCTTACCCTTTCCTTCCCCATGTCCACTGTGTGGCAGTGGGGTCGCCTCCTTCAGGGGTTATAAAGGAGATTGGTTAGCTGTCTGTGCTGCCTCCCCTGTGGGGGAATGGGGGTCCCCAGGGCTGGCCTGCAGTGGTTTGGCAGTTTCAGTCCATGGTGCTGGAGGGCCAGTGTGTTGGGGTAGCACCTCCATTTTTGTCTCCTCAAAATGCGAATCATGATCCTGTGAATTCCATTTGGACTCTAAAGGAAGTCTAAACAGTCTTTTGGGTCTCAGAACATAATCACAGAATATATTCTTAAGTTCACACCAAATCTATCTGAAATCACATTCATAAATCAGATAAATAAACTATAGAAAAAACATAGCCCCATGATTTAAGTCATTATTCTACTTTAAATATATTTTCATAAGCAAAAACTACATGAGCATTCCAAAAACAAAAGATTAACTGAAAAGCCCTGAATGGCAGTGAAGAAGAAAATGAAAATCATTCTGAGGAAATTGTTATTGTTGTTGCTTATCTGTCTGTTTCCTGTCGGTCTCTTTTGTCTGCGTCTCTACACATAAACATAAGTATGTGTGCTTTTCACTACTTAGGTTCAAAAGTCTGATTCCAGTGTCAGTGATGTTGGGTGATACCCAGTATTTTGTGGTCTTGAAGTCTAGATGACTAGATTGAAGTATAGTTGGCATACAGTAGGATGCTAATTTCAGGGGTACAACACAGAGGTTTGACAATTGTATGCATTACTCAGCGATCGTAACAGTAAGCGTAATCACCATCTGTCAGCATACTGACTTACTACAGTAGTGTTGACTGTATTCCCTATGTTGTATGTCTCATCTCCATGTGTGTATTTAACTGGAAACTTGTACCTTTTCACCTCCTTCCCCTATTTTGCCCATCTCCCCACCTCCTCCCCCTCTGGCAACCACCAATTTGTTCTCTGTATTTGTGGGTCTGTTTCAGTTTGCTTGTTCCTTTGTTTTGTTTTTTAGATGCCACATGTAAGTGAAATCCTACGGTATTTGTCTTTCTCTGTCTGACTTATTTCACTTAGCATAATGCCCTCTGGGTCTACCCATGTTGTCCCAAATGGCAAGATCTCATCCTTTTTTATGCTGAGTAATGAAGCCTAGATATCTTCTCTGCAGTTCTTTGCCCTCGGATCTAGAACCGTCTCTTGGTGGGAAGGAATGTTTTGGTTCAGAGGCCTGCACAGAACTGCTCCTCTCTGCACATTACCTTGGGCCTTTTTTGGGAAATAGGTTAGATATATGAATTATGTATTTGTTTTTAAAGCAGAAGGCCAGCCAGCCCGCTTCAACATTCTCCAGGATAATAATCCTTATGCTTCCTCTTTCTCCTTCCTCTTAGCAGTCCCTTTTAGCCCTTGATAGCTTTCTTTCCTTTTAAAATTTTTTTGAGTAGTTGACACATAATATTACATTAGTTTCAGGTGTACAACATAGTGATTAGGCTATGCTCACCATGAGTGTAGCCACCATCTGTTACCATAAATGTGATTACAGTATCATTGGCTATACTCCTCATGCCATGCCTTTCATCCCTGTGACTTACTCATTCCAGACCTAGACGTCTGTACCTCCCACTTCTTTTACCCTATTTTGCTCATCCCCCCATGCCTCTCCCCTCTGGCAATTATCAGTTTGTTCTCCGTGTTTACAAACAGATCAGGTCTGAGTCTGCTTTTTGTTTATTCATTTGTTTTGGTTTTGTTTTAGATTCCACATATGAGTGAAATCATACAGTATTTGTCTTTCTCTGCCTGACTTATTTCACTTAGCATTATACCCTCTAGGTCCATCCATGTTGTCACAAATGGCAAGATATTGTCCTTTTTTACGGCTGTGTAATAGTCTAGTGTGTGGGGGGGAGGTTATTACATTGTCCTTATCCATTCATCTATTCATGGACACTTGGGTTACTCCCATATCTTGGCTATTGTAAGTAATGCTGCAGTAAACATGGGGGTGCATGTATCCTTTCAAATTAGTGTTTCCATTTTCTTTGGGTAGTAGTGGAATTATTGTATCATATGGTATTTCTATTTTTAATTTTTTGAGGAACCTCCCTACTATATTCCTTTCTTATCCCCTTTCCTTTTATGGAAACCCCTACAGCCCCCATCACAGTGTTAGAATTTGATAGAACCCAGAGAGCCCTCTGCCCTCCCTTGTTGGCACCACACCTCTTCCAGTGCATCAGTGACTGGGATGAGAGGTAGCCCCGATATTTAAAATCCTCAGGCAGTCAAAAGTGTCCATTATGGCTAAGTAGCTGTAGTCTCTCACCCTATCGTGTATTTTGCAGGTGGACTAAAGACGGGATGATAGAATAGGTTGTTTTTCATTCAGTCGTGTCCTCACTGGTTATTCACTGAACACCGCTTGTGCAGGATCCTCTCTAAATCATGCCCATTGGTATGTGGTTGCCAATAAATGACAGTGCAGCCAGAGGGTGAATAATGAAAAATGGGAAGGAAGGGAAGCCAGTGGTGGGGTTGAAGCAGCTGGATGTGTCTTGCGAGCCTGTGGACACAGCATGTGTGTATTGGGTTCCCGGGTTGTGCACTTGAGCTGTATGTGAGGCCGAACTTGTATAGCTAGCAGTGAGGGGCTGGGTCACTGTCCCAGACTCCTCACTCCTGCCCCTGCCATGGGCCCTGTGGGCCCTGTGCTGTGTCCCTCCTCCAACCCTGTGAATGAAGCAGGACCCCAAGGGTCATGGGGCCAAGGGATAACACAGGAGGTCAGAGGTCCCTGGTACCCAGCTGTTCCTGGCCAGCAGGAGTGAGGTGTGTTCTGGCCTGGGCATAGCCTGCCACCCTCCTCTTGCACCCCTTGACCCTGTCCCTTTGTGGCATTTTGCTTACTCAGACCAGTAGTTACCAGTGGTTCCTCTGGCCACACCTCTCTGGAGCTGTCTGACCCCCTGGACTGACCATGGACCTCCACTCTCCGGAGGATCCCCATGGGAAGAGAGGCACATGGGTGGCATCTGCTGGACTCAGCGCTTTCACTGCCTTCTTTTTCACGGTTATTTCTAAAACAGAAATAAAAGTGGACTGGAAGACAAGTTTTGTGGAATGAGGTCCTCCTGGAGGAGAATCTGGCTTCTCAGTTTCTAAATTTCTCAGGCCTGGAAGCTTTTGGGATTAGCTGCTAATCCTCATTAAACAGTTTTCACAGGTAGGGAGTTCCCTTGGAGCTGTGGGGTTGTGTGGAAGTAGCTTAACTACCTTCTTCCCCAATCCAGAACCCACTGAGGCCTGAGAGCTGAGCCAGTGGAAGCCAAGTGCCCTCAGCCCTTGATGACACCCACTTTCTGTTTGGCATGGGGGCTGGGGGTGGGTAATTCCAGTCTCAGGAGCAAAATTAAGGGAATCTGGGTGTGGGGTTGAACAGTGGGTACGGGGCTTGGGGTTTTCAGAGTTTTTTTTTTTTTTTGAAAGATTTTATCCATTTATTTGACAGAGAGAGATACAGCGAGAGAGGGAACACAAGCAGGGGGAGCGGGAGAGGGAGAAGCAGGCTTCCCGCCGAGCAGGGAGCCTGATGTGGGGCTCAATCGCAGGACCCCGGGATCATGACCTGAGCTGAAGGCAGACACTTAACGACTGAGCCACCCAGGTGCCCCGGTTTTCAGAGTTTTATTGAAGTCATTTCACTTCACAGTTGTGAGATGATGAACGGGCACATGAAGCTGCAGCTGTCAGCTCCCACAGCATGGAACAGTGTCCCAGAATGGAGATTGCAGGAGTAGGTACCTGCGTCTGAAACAGCACGGGAAACAGGCCCTTGCCAGCCTTCTGTCTGGTCAGGAGCCTTCTCTGAGTCCCGTTGCCAGAGTAAAATATGACCTCCGTAGCATGGCTGCTTTGGTCCCCGGGGGCAGGTGTAAGAAATACCACAAACTGGGTGGCTTAAAACAACAGAAATTTATTCTCTCTCACTTCTAGAGCCTGGAAGCCTGAAATCAAGGTGTCAGCAGGGCCACGCTCTCTGAGACTCTGGGCACAGTCCTTCCTGGCCTCCTCCGGGCCTCTGGTGGAGGCCAAGAGTCTGTGGTGTCCCTCGACCTGTAGCTGCACCACTCCAGCCTCTGCCTCTGTCGTCACGCAGCTGCCTCCTCCCGGTGTCTTTCCACTGTCTTCCGCTGTCCTTGTCTGTGTCTGTGTCCCAGTTCTCCCTTTTGATAGGGACACCAGGTCTACTGGATTGAAGTCCACCTTATGACCTTGGTTTAGCTTGATTGTCTCTGTAAAGACCCTATTTCCAAATAAGGTCACATTCTGATGGGCTGGGGGTTGGGACTTCAGTGTATTCTGAAAAGGACCTGAGGGCCAGTTCGTATCAGAGCCATTGACCTTTCTTCCTTCCTGTCTGATGAGTCAAGAGTGCAGGCTGTGGAGTGGCTGCTGGGTGCTGCCAGGTCTGTGCTGTGGGAGCTGGTGACCTAACAAGAGCTCTGAGGTGGAAGAGCTGGTGTGCACATCGCAGGAGGCGCCGCAGGAAGGCGCACGCGGCACGGGGCCGGCATGGCAGGAGCACCAGGACATGTGATGCCACCTCCTTTGATGGCCCTTTTTCTTTTGAGAGAAAGTCATAATTAAAGTTTAAAAAATTTAGCCTTCTCCTTGGTGAAGAGGTATATTAAGAAGCTGAAGGTACAAGTGGCAGCCCTCATGGGAGGATTTATCTCCTTGCATGGTCTGAAATGCTCAGGGAATTTCTGGGGAAGTGTGCCTCCCCATGTCCTCATGAGTGGGTATTTCATTTCTTCAGCAAATGTGTGGTGAGCTGCAGTGGGCATTGGAGGAGTGAGAGCTAAATGTGCAGGTATGTGGTGGGAGAGTACTCAGAGGTCAGCAAGTGCAAAGGTTGTGGCTCAGGAACAGGATGGTAGTGGGAGATGAGCACGTTTGGCTTGGTGCCATGTGGGTATGTGCAGTTATGTAATGAGACTACTCTCTTCACCAAAGAAAACTGTACAGAGGTGTGTGACTCTTTTATACAAGGTGGGATTGGCTAGAGGCCAGGACCATCCTGCTGTTTGTCCTTACCCCCTTTGGGAGTTGCCATTTGATAAAGTGAGTAAATCTCACCTCACGGTTTTGTTTTTTTTGTTTTTTGTTTTTAAGTTTTTCAGTCTCTGGGGCGCCTGGGTGGTTCAGTCATTTAAGCATCTGACTCTTGATTTCAGCTCAGGTCATGATCTCAGGGACATGAGATTGAGACCTGTGCTGGGCTCCACGCTGGGCTTGGAGCCTGCTTAAGATTCTCTCTCTCCCTCTCCTACTCCCCTACACCCTGCTCGCATGCTCTCTCTCAAAAAAAAATTTTTTTTCAATTTTTGACTATAGCCTTAAAAATTGTGTTCACCACAAGCAGTAAAAGCACAACAGTATATAAAGGAAAAATTAAATATCCCCACCTGCCCATGCATGCATGCGTGCATGTGTGTCGCACACACACACTTTGGTAACAGCCTGACCTGTGTCTTCCTTTATTTCTTTCCGAGTCCCATGTGGGTTGTGATGTTGAATACATTTGCTTGCTTTTACAGTAACATTGTGGGACTGTGCAGCGTATCTGGTCATCTCACTCCTTCTCTGCTCTCCTACCTATAGTTCATGGACGTTCCCCCATGTCATTGGGTCTTAGTTGGTCTCCAGCTAATGGCCCCTGGATTTTCCATAGTGTGGGCGCATTATAGAATTCTGCTCTGTTGACAGGTGACCTGTTAAATGTAGGGCACCTGTTGTACAGTTCCATTTGGCGTCACTCAACTCCAGATGGGCTCTGTGGATTCCCTGCACCCGAACCTCATCTTCTGCTGTCATGTCTGCATGAAGTGACAGCACTAGAAACTTCAGGACCCCACTTAACTGACTCACACCTACATTCAGTTGGTCACCAAGTCTGGTGGCCTTGGCTCCAGAACACACCACCCATTTGTCACCTTTCCCCTTGTTCCTCCCACCACCACCCAGGTTCCAGCCTTCACTTGTGGCTTAGCCAGGCTTGGCTGGCCTCCCCATCTCCAGCCTCTCTCATGGCCGGCATGTCCCTCAGGCCCCTCAGGCCCCTTTCCTTCCCTCACTTGTGACTTCTCACCTTGAACAACTGTCAGGGGGTCCATCTGTACTCGGACTCATCCTTGCTAGAGGATGTGCAGGCGTGCCCACAGCGTTCCAGCGCTTGCTCACCCAGCCCTGCACCTGAGGCCAAGGGCCCTGTGTACCTGGCAGTCTTGGGTTGGAAAAGACTTGGCACTTCCTGAGAGCTTCACCTCTGCTCTGTGCGTGTACACATTATGTCCATCTGCCCCCACTAATCCTGGTTTCCATATCTTTATCCCCCACAGTGAGGGTTCCCTATTTCATTGACTTGAAAAAACCGCAGGATCAAGGTTTGAATCACACATGTAATTACTACCTCCAGCCAGAGGAAGACGTGACCATTGGAGTCTGGTGAGTGACCAGCGGCGTGGCCAGTGTTGTCCAAGATGATCGCCTGTCTGTTTTTATCCTCCCCCTTTCCGTTTCCAAAGCAGATATCTTGGCTAAATTTGATCCTAATGGAGCATGATGAGATGGCATCAGATCTGTTCTGAGGTTTTCAAACACCGAAGGCTTTGTGAACCAGGCTGTTTGTGGAAGAGAGCCTTATTTCCAGAGGGAAAAAAAGAGTATGAGCACAGAATCACGAGCACAGATTTGAGATACACTCTTTCTTCTCAGAGAAGGGAACTTGAAAACAGCTGGATTTCTTCCACGTGCAGTGCTTACAGCCACTGATAATGGTGGTGTTTGCTCTCTTCTTGTATTGACTTTTTTGAGCCAAAATTTAAATGGGACTTAAGCTCTGTGACTTCTTTCTGTCTTCTTGGAATATGTTTTCCTGCTTTTCCCTATGGACAAGTGGGTGTTTCTGAACAACTAAATTAAAATTGACCAACTTTTCTGTGGCACTTTCTTTCTTCTCTCTGAAGCAGCTTGGCATCACTGCCCCTTTATGTAGCTGGGTTTCTCTTTCAGCAGCCATGACATCCTCTCTGCCCTTGCAGAAAACTGCTGTGTACGTGAGATGCTTCTAAACAAAATGCTGTGGGTGGCTTCTCAGTGTGGGCTGTGAGGAAGTTCAGCCATATCTAATGGTCTTGGGTAGAGAACATAAAATGGGAAGGGAGATTATTGTTCTAGGAGTTAATGCTGGGACTAGGCTTTTGTTATTTCTGGTTTAATTTAATCTTATATTTACTGACCAGTGTGTGTGCATGGGACACTTTGCTCTTGTGTCCTCAGTCAGAAGGTTGATGTGTTTTGCTCAGAGCTATCTGTTAGGAATTGGTCAGCCCTCCTGCTGGTTAGTGTGGTCTATGCTTTGAGACATGGACAGGGGTTTGTTAGTAGGGACCTCTTCCTTGGGTAGTGGTTAGGGCAGTCTATTGCAGGAGGGATGTTTGTGCTGCTGATACTTAGGCTGAAAGCTCCCACAGCAGTCACCCAAGAAGGTTGTCCTGAGTGACAGCAATGGCGAGACTCAGATTAGTGACACCCAGGCTGTGTGCTGCTGGGCCCCGGCTGGCCTGCCCAGGTCTGTGCCCTGTACTGTCATGAGGATGCTGTGGGCCCTCGGGCAGCAGTAGGCCTTGTTCTTAGCTGCTGGTTTGTGGGCACAAGCTCTCCCTCTGGCAGGGGGCAGGAGAGCCCTGGGAATAGGGTCCCTCTCCTCTGGCTGGGAGCTTCCCGGGCCTTTGTGAAGAGCACCAGGTTTGGGGTAAACTGGCTCCTGGAAGTACAGCAGCGTCCAGGACTTTTAAAATGTGCCTTTTGGTCCCATGGGTTTATAATTGCCATAGAGTGATCATTATGGTCAGAATCAGAACCACCCAAAATGCTGTCCTCTGGAACGGGTCAAAGAAACGTTAGAAGTGAAATGCTAAGGGGCACCTGGGTGGCTCAGTTGGTAAGCGTCTGACTCTTGATTTCGGCTCAGGTCATGATCTCAGGGTTGTGAGATTGAGCCCCACGTCATGCCCCGCACTGGGCCTGGAATCTGCTTAAGATTCTCTCTCTGCCCCTCCCTCCTCTGCCCTCTAAAAAGAAAATGAAGAAGTAAAATGCTGAAACTTAAGTAGAAAATTTAAAAATGGCCATTTAATATTTGTAAGCATTCTTGCTAATAAATGTGAATGTGTTTTACAGAAAAACCTATTCATTTGGACCCTCCGCAGCAATTAACAGTATTTGATGTGGCTTGACTTCAGATTAACTGGAGCATCTCCCTGAGGGAGAGTTCTGGCCAGAGAGACTGAGTGCACCTGCCCGGTCAAGTGTGGGATGAGCCGGGCTGACACCAGTCCATCCATGTAGCATGTTGGCTTGCAGCATCTCCTCCTACAGAGATGCGTCTGCTCCCAGATGCCTTGTGAGCAGGCTCTGGAATCTGGTGTACATTAGAAATGGTGCTTTAAGGATGTCCAGCTTCTAGTCCAGCTCATAAAGATCAGTGTCGCTGAATTACCACCTATGACAGCATGAACTATCTTAGGTCCATTGTGAGTTAAATTGTGTACAGCTTAGACTAGATAGTCCAAGATGGTGGAGGACTTAGTTTCATCTGGTCCCAGGAATTCAGCTAGATAGCTCTCAAATCATTCTGAACACCAGCGAACTCAACTGGAGATGTAAGAAAAGAATAGCTTCAACTCTACAAATAGAAAAGCCACCACTTTCTGCAAGAGTAGGAGGTGCGGAGAAGTGGATCCCAGGCGATATATGGGAAGATAAACCGCGGGGGGCGGGAGCCTCTATAAGCCGACTACTGGAAAGTGATAGAGCCGCGGAGCACAAAACCGGAAATTTTAGAAGTCTGCTCTGCTGAGTGATGTCCCTGCCTGAAAGATGCTCAGGTGGCGAAATCCTAGGTAGAACGGTGTGGTATCAGGACCCTTGGGGTCACAGGAAGACCGGGGGTGCCTGAGTGCAGCAGAGCTCCCAGGTATCAGAGTGGGGAAGCCAGCTGCAATCAATGAGCCCAGGAGTGGGCTCTCAGCTCGGGGTTGCCATATACCGTGAACTGTGGCATGGTTGGGTGACTGCTCTCCAAGCAGGTTCCCAGCAAGCGGCAGAGCCGTAGGGAGACCGCCTTTCTCCCGGGAGAGGAGAAGCACTGGTATGCACTGCAGGAATCTGCTGGGTTTGGAGACTCCAAACAGGGTCGCATGCCTGAGATAGAAACACTCGGTGACAGGCTAGGTGAGCGCAGAATGTGAACTGAGACCCCGGAGACAGGAGTGATTGACTGCTTTTCCCTGAGGGTGCACTGAGGAGTGGGGCCCTGCCTCCTGGAGACTGGGAGGCTACCATTTTCATTTTCATTCTCATTCTCTAAAGCTGCGCAGAAAGCCTTCAGGGAACAAAAGCCACAGCGAGCAAGCAATCTGGAGCAGATTACTTAGCCTGGCCCTCTGGCAAGGGCAGTGCAATTCTGCCGAGGGGCAAAGACACCTGAGAATCAGCACAACAGGCCCCTCCCCCCAGAAAACTAGCAAGAACATCCAGCTAAGACCCAAGTTTACCGATCACACAGAACTGCAAAACTCCAGTGCTAGTGGAAAATAGTATATAGAATTCATGGTTTTTGTCCCATGATTCTTTAGTCTTTGAATTTTATTTTTTTCTCTTTCCTTTTCAACCAGTTTTTTATTTTATCAACTCTTCTTTTTAAATCTTTTTTAATTTTCATTTTTACAGTTACATTCTATCCTTTTGTTATATTTACTTTTATTTTTGAATATATATGTTTTTCTTTCTTTACAATTTTGGGATGCAGTTTTTGTTAAAGGCTTTTAAAATTTTCATCTTTATAGTTATGTTCTATCCTTTCATTCTATTTAATTTTATTTTTGTATGTATATAAGTTTTTCTTCCTTTACAATTTTGGGATCTAGTTTTCTAATAAACAGACCAAAATACAGAATCCACTATATTGCTCTTTTCTGATCATGTCTGATTATAGTCTCTCTCTTTCTATTTTATTTTTTTTTTCAGTTTTGGGTCTTTTCTGATTTGTAGTGTATATTTCTCTGGGGTCGTTGTTGCCACTTTAGTATTTTGTTCTCTCGTCCATCTATTCTTCTCTTGACAGAATGACAAGATGAAAAACTCACCTCAAAAAAAAGAACAAGAAGCAGTACTGACTGCCAGGGACCTAATCAGTATTAAGTAAGGTGTCGGAACTAGAGTTCAGAATGACGATTATAAAGATACTAGCTGGGGTTGAGAAAAGCAAAGAAGATTACAGAATCCCTTTCTGGAGAAATAAAAGAAATGAAATCTAACCAAGTTGAAATCAAAAAGGATATGAATGAGATGCAATAAAAAATGGAAGCTCTAATCGCTAGGATAAATGAGGTAGAAGAGAGAAATAGTGATATAGAAGACCAAATGAGAAAAAGAGAGATAAACAACTACTGGATCACGAGGGCATAATTCGAGAGATAAGTGATACCATAAGATGAAACAGTATTAGAATAATTGAGATCCCAGAAGAAGAGGAAAGAGAGAGAGGGGCAGAAGGTATATTGGAGCAAATTATAGCAGAGAACTTCCCTAATGTGGGGAAGGAAATGGGCATTCAAGTCCAGGAGGCACAGAGAACACCCCTCAAAATCAGTAAAAATAGGTCAACACCCCGACATATAATAGTGTAACTTGCAAATCTCAAAGACAAAGAGAGGGCGCCTGGGTGGCTCAGCTGTTGAGTGTCTGCCTTCGGCTCAGGTCATGATCCCGGGGTCCAGGGATCGAGCCCCGCATCGGGCTCCCTGCTCAGTGGGAAGCCTGCTTCTCCCTCTCCC